GTGTGTGTGTGTGTGTGAGTGTGTGTGTTTGTGAGTGAGTGTGTTTGTGTGAGTGTGTTTGTGTGCGAGCGTGTGTGTGTTTGTGTGTGTGTGTGCGTGCGTGAGTGTGTGTGTGTGAGTGTGTTTGTGTTTGTGTGCGTGTGTGTGTTTGTGAGTGTGCGTGTGTTTTTGTGTGTGTGTGTGTGAACGCTCTCTCACTCACATCACGAGCTGCTCACTTCAGCTGGGCTTGAAACATCAGAATTAGTGATGGGAAGTTCGGTTCTTTTCCGCGAACCGGTTCTTTCGGACAGTTCGATTCAATAAACCGGTTGAAAAAACCGGTTCACCGGTTCATGACTTGAGTTGGAATTAAATGAATCAGTGACTCATTCTTTTGTCAAATGAATATAATCTGCACATATGAACATGTGCATTAGACACGTACGGTGATGATGAGGTGTGGCTGTGTGTCAGCTCACCGTTGACCTGAAAAGCAGCTTCACATCTGTCTGACCCACATCTTTAGCCATCAAATACAAGCAAGCTGTGAAAATAGGATTCATTTATTTATTTTTTATTTGTACACAAAGCTTGACCGAGCTGCAAAAGTATGGGCTTACATTTCTGCCACAATTCTGCGCGCGAAAGATCAAATACAGTGTATAGAAGTTAACACTCACTCACCATTACATGCTGCTTTCCAAATCCATCGCGTGCATCATCAGCCGGAATCTTCAAACATCGCGCGCTGACTGATCAAACGTGTTCGAACGGGGCTCCTCCCCTTACAGAAACTTAACACATTAAGCTATCTCTAGTTAACATAATCACTGCATTCAATATTTAATCTGAATACTTCAAACAACTAATTATATTTAGTAATGTCAACGTTTTTACAAAAACAAGAAAGAATAATTAATGACGACTAAAAACGTTTATTTAAAACAAAATCTGGGTTTAGAGTGTAGAAGATAACCTGCTTAATTATGCACACCTGAATATAAGACGTTTTTCACTTCCAGTGAACAATAATATATAGATTATAAGTGATTAAATACAAGATTAATAGTAGTTATAATTATTGGTAAAATGTGCTTGAAAAAAATATAATCAGAATATCAACTTGCATAATAATTATGCATGCACTGTATTTTTCCTCTTCTGCTGTCGAGGTAATGCAATGAATGTTGTGATTGGTTGTCAAGGCAGCCAATCAGAATTTAGCAGCCTCGGTCTCTGATTGGCTGGAATTATGGCACATTGTAACGCTGGGTTGTGTTGAGCAAGCAAGCTGTTGGCATTTAGCGAGCACTGAGGGGGGCATCAGGTGAGCAAGCTAGTGAAACGTTGCACGCGCAAAAGAGAAGGTCTGCACACATCCAAAAACTTATTTTAAATGCAAAATTGATTTTCGTGCGCTCGAAATACTTTCTTCTTTACGAGACAAACATTTTCTACACAAAACTCAGTTCGCGCTCAAAATATGATCTTTCGCGCGCAGAATTGTGGCAGAAATGTAAGCCCATACTATGGGAGACTTCACTCTTTGCTAAGAGAGAATATCACTTCTTTTATTATGTAGGAAAAACAAACAAACAAACAAAGGCTACACATAACATTTAATACAATAACAAATTGTGTGATACACTGAATAACTTATACATCAGATATATTACATTCGTTATTTAGTACATTATTTAATACATTACATTTGAATTACATTTAATATGAGTCAGTCCAATACGCTATTATAATTAAAATAACATATTAAGAACAGTAACACATTACTAATACATTATTTTGTTCAGTAAACACAGTTTAAACAAAAACAGTTTGATAACTTTACACTGTATTTTTTAGACAACATTAAATCAGTGTTATTTTAGTATTATTTATATACTAGTATAGAACTATTATTTTTTGAATTAGCTTTTATTTTTATATTTTCAGTTTTTGTTTAGATTTTAGTTTTGGTTTTTTTCATTTTGATATGCTTTTCATTTCAGCCTTTTTTAATTCAATTTTTTTAGGTGACTGTGTCTGTTTTTAGTGCTTATATTTTTTTCTATTTATTTTTTATTATTTAATCATTTCATATTTTTATTTAATTATTATTTTTTTTATTTCAGTTAGTTGCCAAGGCAAAATTTCTAACTACACATGTAATTAAATACAGATTATATAATATTAAGTAACTTATACATTAAATACACATTCATTATTTATTACAATATTTAATACATTAATACGTTTGGGAATTCTGGATGAAAATATTGGGTATTTATAATATTTAAAATTGGTTTGAAACTAACAAAGTTATGATTAAATGTATAATATGTCATATTTATTAAAATTGTATTTATTGTGTATTTCCTATGTATTGTTTTAAATTGAATTGAACACATTTACCACTATTAATATTTAACATGTAATAATAATAAATATATTACTATTTTTAATATAGCATAGCAGTAAAATAGCAAATTAAAATTTTAAACGAGATTTAATGGATTAAAATAAAATGTTTAGACAATTATGGCAGATTCCTAAACTGTTTTTCAAGGTTTTGAGTGCCATTGCGGTTTAAAATAACATCAAAGTAAAGTTTATTTGTTAAGATGCTGAGTTAGATCATCCAAAGATAATGAGCTGTGTTACGGATTAATTGAATATTCATGAGGGCTGGAGTCACTGAATATTCATGAGTGACACAGGAGCCGCTCGAGACGCAGAGAGAGAAAAGCTCGAGTTTACAAACTTTCCATCGGGACAGAAACTCCGTCAGTCAGTGGAGCTCTGAAAACGCTCAGTGTGGGACAACATGACATACACCTTTTTGTTTTAGCTTTATGACAACTTTTTAAAGACTTTGCAAGACTTTTCAAGTAGGCCGTGACTACTTTTACCAACGAAAGAAAAAAAAAAAAAAGAAAGAAAGAAAAGGAACAAAAAAAAATACAGGCCTAACCAAAGAGGTTCCTACAACTTCCAGGATTTTTTCCTCAGGATCCTAGTATTTTAATACGATTTTCGGGGTTTGCTTGTTTTTATATCTAACAAAATGAGCAGTAACCCTCTCCAGCCGTTACCGGGCCAGCAGGGGATCCATGTCGCCAAAGACCTTGACACGGATCTGGAGGCTCTGTTTAACTCCGTCATGAACCCGAAGCCCAGCTCCTGGAGGAACAAGCATCTGCCCGAGTCGTTTTTCAAGGAGCCGGACTCGGGCGCTCACTCTCGGCAGTCCAGCACGGACTCCGGCAGCCTCCCGCCGCGCTGCCCGGCGGTGCACGTCCGCTCGCACTCCTCCCCGGCGTCCCTGCAGCTGCCCGCGGCGCTGGGCGCTCCGAGCCCCGGGAGACACCACTCTCACATCCGGCACCAGTCCTTCGATGTGGCCGAGGAGCTGCCGCTGCCGCTGCCGCCGGGCTGGGAGATGGCGTACACCCCCAGCGGGCAGAAGTACTTTCTCAAGTAAGTGCTACATTCTTTATTTATGGCTCGCCACATTCCAGCACACCACTTACATTAGCCGAGCCATAATCCAGTTACTGTAATATATACGGACTAATTTTCTTGAATCATTTAAAGTCGCTTTACATCAAACTAAACGTGAACATAAAGCAGTTGCGCAATAAACAAAAGCGTTTTTAATTAGTTTTTATTATTTCACTTTTAAGTGTTTAATTTCCTTGCATTCTTCTAGAAACATCACCGCATTGTTTTTAAAAGCAAGATGTACAAAACAGGTTGTGATCTCTAAACCGGTTTCTGATCCGAATCAGTGCGCGTTCACACTGGTGAAATCTCTGCAGTCACGTTTAGCTTTCCTTTTGACCTCTGAACACACTGGTGGGGAAGGCGTGGGCCGGAAACACACAGAACAGTATCGGGGTGTGGATCTGAAAGACAAAAAAACCCCGTTTTTGCTGACTGTGATGTGCAACACACGTTTCTCGCAGCAGGCCTTTTCTCACCTTGATAAGGAGGCGTTTAGCATATCTCAGAGGGAGCTATCTCTCCAGTGCGTCTCAATGTAAATGTGTGTTTTGACTTGCGTCTCTGTAGGAATGAGACCGCTATTCTTCTGTGGCCCTGGGGACTCTGCTCTTATCTGATTCAGTAGGGTTGTGATCACCTCTGTGGGGTCGGTCGACAGTCTCGCCCACCAGGATCCTCCTCAGCTCGCTGATTGTGTTCAAAATGTGTCAAAATATTATTTTTTTGGACACTAGAGAACAACATCAATTCTCACCTACAGGTTAAAACAAGCAGTTGCCCACCTCTCTCCTACTAGTAAGTCTTCGGCTGTTCTTCGGGTTGAAGTTGTCCTGTTTGTGGATAACCGCGGCTGTTAAATCAGTGCTTCTCAAATCGCTTCAGGACCCAGATTTTACACTGGAAACCATGTGGCATAACAACACAATGCAAAAGTAAACAGCTCTTATTCACTGCGCTTGGGCCTAATGCAATGCAAAATATTAACGTGGCATGGCTGAATAGGAAAACTGGCAATTTTGTGAATGCATAGCCTAACATCATAAACAAACAGTGGACTAAATATTGTATTAGTATCAAGCATCGAAATACTGTGGAGTTTGTTTGGACACACTGATGTCAACAACAAATGATACTTAAAAGTTGATTAGCCTCTTTAGCTTTCTATTCAATTGTTATAATGTGCCTGAATTTATGGTTAATATTTCATTTTTTGTATTTAGCATTTTTCCCTGCTGTACACAGCCCTGAAACCCGTTTTTGGGTCATAATCCACCAGCTGAGAAACTGTGCAAATAATTATATAATACTTTTTAAAATCTTCTGCTCATCAAGGCTGCATTTATTTGATTAAAAATACAGTAAAAACTGTAAAATTGTGAAATATTATTACAGTTTAAAATAACTGTTTTCTGTGTGAATCTCTGTTAAACTGTAATGTATTTCTGTGATGCGCAGCTGTATTTTCAGCATCATTACTCCAGTCTTCAGTGTCACATGATCTTCAGAAATCAGTATAATATGCTGCTTTGCTGCTCAAGAAACATTTCTGATTATTATCAATGTTGAACACAGTTGTGCTGCTTCACATTGTCGTGGAAACCGAGATAAACACCATTCAAAAGTTTGGGGTATAATATAAAATAAAATAAATAAATAATAAAATAAATACTTTTTTCAGTAAGGACGCATTAAATTGATCAAAAGTGACAGTACATACATGAATAATGTTACATAAGATTTCTATTTCAAATAAATGCAGTTCTTTTTACTTTTTATTCATTAAAGATTCCAAGAAAAAAAGGTATCACTGTTTCAGCTGTGTGTCAGGAATAAATTATATTTTAAAATATATTCAAACAGAAAACAGTTCTTTTAGTAATACTTTCTTTTGTAATACCTTTTCACAACATTGCTGTTTTTGCTCTATTTTTAATCTGCAGCCTCGGTGAGTAGAAGAGACTTCAAAAACATTAAATCAATTATTCCAAACATTTGACTGGTAGTGTAAATACATCCTCTGTATGGGAATGTCCATGTTCTTTTATCAGATTATATCAACCAAACCCCATTTATATGTGCTAATACTTCTAAATTCAGTTACAGATTCACATCGATGCTTTGATCATGTGTTCATTTTGAGGCTCATTTCAAATGGCTTTGGGCTTTACAAGGACAATCTGACTGCAGCTCGTCTCTTACGTTCCCTTCCTTCTTTTACCCGAAACTCTTGGTGTGAAACCATAAGAAAACATGCCAGGGCTTGCCACACATTCAGCGGACACCTCCGCCACCAACACAGCAGCAGACGCCAGCTTCACACCGCCCTGCAATTAAACAGTCAGGAGAAGCATCTTCAGCACTCAATAAACGGCCTTCATCTCTTCCTGCTAGCGTCACGCATATCTACAGGATTGTTTTTTTCTTTGAAGGAAATATGCAGAAGAAAATACACGAGCTTGTTTAGGCTCAGGAAGTGAATCTTGTCGTCATGTATACACATTGATGGACACTAGTGATTCAAAAATAGTGAAAGATTTGTTAACTGTTGGTCTTATTAATCAAACCTGCATTTCTTCACCCAACGTCATGAAACAGGAGATAATTAAAGGATCGCCCTCCAGAATCTTTCAGCTGGTGGATATTTTTTATCGCTTTGATCCAAACAAGTGAGGCAAAAGAATTGAAGTGTTTGTAGTTCTTTCTTCATGCAAAGGCAGTCTGTAATTATGCCTCCGTTTGATGCCACGTGAAGCATGAGAAGGTCTTCCCTTCAGGCTCTGTTGATGGCCATTTTTCTCCATTATGTTGAAGATAAGTGGTGAATAAGTTTTTATCGCCACCAAATCACATCTTACACAATGTTCACTTGTGTTTGTGTGAAAGGTTTTTTTTGCTTTCTTTCTTTGCGTGGATACATGAGATACGTGAATGTCATAAACCCTGCCTGCATCACACATTAACTCAATATGAATAAATAAATAAATAATATATATATATTTTCTCTTTTCATTTTTATTTCATTTATAGAAATTAAATTAAGCTAATTTTACATTTATTATTATATTTAATAAATTTTACTGTCAAAAAACAAAAACAAAACACACACACACACAAAAAAATCATTGCATTGTAACATTTTCCCCAAATTCCCATTACGCTAGTCCATAAAAATCCCATTCTCATCCAGACCTTTTGTAATTCCCATTACTCTGTAATACAGTGTTTATACTGTTTTGTTCTGTTTTCCCACTCAGCGCAACAATAAAAACTACAGTGATGTATTCACTTTACAATTTAAATAATATATTTTTCACATTAACAGCAATGAGAATTTGTAGGAAAAAAATCGTTCTGTTTTTATGAAAATAATGTCAGAGTGCAAAAAAATTGGTATTGGTCCCAAAATGCTTCATTAGCATTCGTTTTTATGCGCATTTTGTATTGCATCAGAAATGAGTGACGGAAACGCCAAATTTGGAAAAAAATCAATTAATTCGCAAAAAGTTTTAACACTTGCTTGAGGTGGTTTTTGACTTGAGCGAAGAAGAGTTAATGCGAAAAATGGGAGATGGAAACATATTTGCCGGATAAATTCATATGTAGCGAACTGAATCCACTGATGGTGTTTTATTTTCTGTTGGTTACTAGGTTAGGTCGGAAACGCACCTAATTCACAGTTAGATTCACTTTAGGTTTTGATGGAAACCCAGCTATTGTCATCATCCAAAATATAATTTCTACATAAATACCATTTGTATTATATCTAATTTCTAATTAATTTTATGGAGAGAAATATACCCAGAACATGTTCTTGACAGGTTTCGTGAGATGAAAATCTTTATTACCATCTAGAGGTAATTATCAGTTGTTTGGCTGGCGTTTGATATGGCCACAGTCCGGCTGGCAGTGATGACGCTGATACTGCGGTAAATAAACTCAGAGCAGTTGTGGGTTTGATATATAACAGGAAGCCTGTGACGTAGAGAGAGGAACATTTCGCTTGATCCGACTCACTCTGTAAACTAAACGTGTCTGCTGTAGCAACTGGAGGTTTATTAAACACAATCCTGCTCAACTGTTACTGAAGTCCAGATGTGCTGTGTCAAGCAGAAGTAACGTCTCTCAGCGAATCAGTCCCAGCTTTACATTTTAAAACACAGTTAGCAGAGTTACTTTTGGGTCCGGCCTGCGGGAAATGTTTACCAAAGAAGTCATTACATTTATCCCCATTTTCGTGGGCCGATGCTGAAGGAATGTCAGGACAGTGTTTCTAGCTTGGCAGGGGTGAGCGGCGAAACAATGGTTATTGGGCCACAGTGGCGTAAAGCGTCCCGTAATGGAATCCCAGGCCCGCTGCTATCTGTGCTGCAGACATAACACACGTGCTTGTGGAGACGGATGCCAGTCAGGATTCTCTCGGCCTGTTCTGGAGCTCGAGAGGAGACGCTGGACTCTGGTGGCACGGGAGGCATGAAGATCTAGTCGTGCGATGCTGGTTGGCCTCTGGCTGGCTCTTTCTTCTCCGCCGATAGCTGCCATCAAAACACAAAAGTCTCTTTGTAGCCGTGATTTTGTTTCCCAAATCACTTCAGGGCCTTGCGTGACTTGCTGATATAAATTGTATAAAAGCAATTAAAGTTGAAGGAAATGCCGTGTGGGGAGCTCTGAACACCAGCGTCTTTGTAGAAATGAGCAGAAATAAATACAGGTAAAAGAGACTTTACAAACTTGACTGATGTAAACAGATGCAATAAAATGTCGGAGAAATCTACACTAAAGAGTAATTCTTAGCATCTGGACATCAGAATAAAGAATATGACTGGTTCTTATATCTTTACTGGCTAGATACTAGCAACATAAACATTATTAGCAGTGCTCTATAATTATTGCTCATACTGAAGGTTTGGTATTTTGCTATAAGCTGAATGATATATCACAAAATTACTGTTCTGAGTGATAAAACTTACAATTTG